ATGAACGACATCTTCAGGGACATCCTTGAAGAATACGTTCTCGTATACCTGGACGACATCCTGGTCTACAGTCGTACCTTAGAAGACCATATCAGACACCTCCGCGATGTCCTACAGCGCTTACGCAAGCATGGCTTCTATGCCAAGCTTAGTAAGTGCCGCTTTGCCCAGCGCAAAGTGGACTTCCTAGGACACCATGTGTCTGACCAGGGTCGACACCATGTGTCTGACCAGGGTCTCCACATGGACGACGCGAAGATCACTGCTATTGCAGAGTGGCCCGTCCCCACATCTGCCAACCAGCTTCACAGCTTTCTAGGTCTCACCAGCTACTATAGTAATTTTATCCAGGGATACTCTAGGTATTCCTACGTCCTTACCTCCACCCTCCTCCGGAAGAACCGGCCGTGGTTTTGGACACACCTCTGCGAGGACGCCTTCCGCGCCCTCAAGAAGGCGGTGCCTTGCGCACCGGTTCTTCGCCTTCTCGATTTTGATCGTCCCTTTATCGTCACCACCGATGTGTCAGATTTTGCAGTAGGAGTTGTCCTTTCTCAGGTGTTTCCCTCTCCTCCAGATTCACCTTACCCACATGTTCCTCCTTTCCCCCCCCCTCCTGCTGACACTGCTTCTCGACTGACGCCTATCCTACCACCACTTCCCTCCACTGACAGTCCTCCCATTACTTACTCCCCGATCATCGCGGAGGATGGGACGGTCGAGGCTCGTGTTGGGGATTGCCCGATCGCTTTCTACTCTCGTCAACTACTACCTGCCGAGATAAACTACACTGCCGATGAACGTGAGGTTCTCGCAGTAGTTTATGCTACCTGGCATTGGCGTCATTATCTGCACGGGGCGCCCTTCACGGTGCGCACGGACAACTCAGTTGTCCAGGCTTTCCTCACGAAGCCTAAGCTTTTCCCTCGACAGGCACGCTGGTGGCGTGACTTATCCGAGTTCAGTTTCACCACTCAGCCCATCAAGGGTGAAACGAACCGCGTCGCCGATGCCTTGTCCTGCCGTCCTGATCACAATCAGAAACCCATCCATCTTGCTGCCATCTCCATCACCAGTGTTGATCAGTCGGTGATCGACGCGTATCGCACTCAGTACCGCCACTGCCCCGATTATCGCGTCATCCACGCGACACTGCGGAGTGGCAAGACCGTTCCTTCCTACTCCCTCGGGGAGAACGGCCTCGTGTACTGGCATGGCAGATCTGGTCAGCTAGAACCACGTATCTGCGTTCCCTCCACAGGACAGCTCCGCGTCCAGGCTGTAGCAGAGTTCCATGACCAGGCAGTTGCCGGTCATATGGGTTTCCACAAGACGTTGGCTCGTGTTTGCCGCCTATACGTCTGGCCGAAATCCAAGGACTTTGTCAAAGCCTACATCCAGGAGTGTCCTACCTGCCAGGAGGTGAACAATGTGAACCACCTTCCGTATGGGTTACTTCAGCTCTTACCCATACCTGAAGATCGTTGGCAGTCTATCTCGATGGATTTCATTGGTCCCCTCCRCCCACCCACTCAGCGCAGTCATGATGCTATCTTGGTCGTCGTCGATCGCTTCACGAAGCGTGCACGTTTTGTTCCGTGCCGCTATCGCATTAGCGCTCGTGAGGTCGCCGACATCGTCTTCGACCGGGTCGTGAGAGATCACGGCTTACCTCAGAGCATCATCTCCGACCGTGACCCGCGCTTTACCAGCACATTCTGGCGACGCCTACACGAGGTGTACGGATCCCAGCTCCGCTTCTCATCGTCTTACCACCCTCAGACGGATGGTCAGACTGAGGTTACCAACAAAACTCTCGGTAATATCCTCCGAAAGTTTGTTAGGGATGACCATCAGTGGGACTTACACTTAGCCCACGCAGAGATTGCGTACAACCACGCTGTTTCGCCAACCACGGGGATGTTGCCATTCTATTGCGACCTCGGCTACCACCCTCGCGTACCTGCGGATTTCCTACGACCATCGCGGTTGCGCCCAGACACTCGTTGCCCTGCGCTTGACGACTGCATCGCCTACATGGCGGCGATTATAAAGCGCGCACACGAGAGTTTAGCCGACTCCCAGACTCGCATGGCCGCACGAGCGAACCGATCACGAATGGATCATTCACTCAAAGTCGGTGACGATGTGCTCGTCGACGCACGCCACTTACAACTCGAAGCAGATATGCTTCGCAAGTTCAGGCGTCGTTTCTTCGGTCCATGCCGCATCCTTCAGGCCGTCGGCTCTGATAATGCCACTAGTCCGGTCAGCTTCCATGTGAAGCTACCTGATTACCTTCGACAGGCTCGCGTACACGATGTTTACCACGTCTCCTTGTTGCGTCCTTATCGCAGACCGTCCGAGCGCTTCGCCGGACGCCCTTATGAGCGCCCTCCACCTATCATGGTGGACGGTCACGAGGAGTTCGTTGTTTCCGACATCGTATCACNTATCATGGTGGACGGTCACGAGGAGTTCGTTGTTTCCGACATCGTATCACGCCGAGTTACTGACGATACCCCTCCACGCATCGAGTACCTTGTGTGTTGGAAGGGCTACCCTGATGAGGAGGCTACTTGGGAGCCCCTCGAGCACTTGCAACACGCCAGGATGTTGGTGCGTGCATATGATCGTGCTCGTCGTGCTGGGACATCTGCTTCTACTCAGCCGACTGACCCTCTTCCTCCTCCTCCGGCTGAGGAGATCGCTGAGGATGAGCCCGCTCCCTCTGAGGCCGTTCCTCAGCCGCAGATGGTCGCCTCCGAGCGTCCACAGCGCACTAATCGTCGCCCTTCACGTTACGATGACTGACACTCTTATCCTCCATCTTTCCCCACTGACTCAGACCATCAGGTACTCCATCATCAGCTCTTCTTCAGGATGTCAGCGTTTTGCGGCTCTGCTTCGACATCGACTCGACTGCTACTTCATCGACGTCATCGACCGATTCGACGACTTCAGCTACCTTATCGGCGTCAGCTACTTTGGACGTGACTACTTCACGCCACCACCCTACCATGTACATTCCCTTGCATCTGTCGCATGATGGTTCTCACTTAGCTGGGTCTTTTTGAGTTGGGCTCTCCCTTGGTATCGCATAGGCATTGGGACCGTAGCGTTATCTTGGCTTCCCTGCTCCCAGATCTAGCTCCTTCCTCCCCCAGTCGGTGAGTTGTGTGCATATTTCCCTCACCCACTGCCTTCATCACCCTAGTGTCGGCCCTTGCATGCCTTCAGTTAGGCATATCTCCACCCTATTCCAGGCTCCCCCTTTTCATGGTCGACCCTGCATGGTGTCACCCTTGACGAGCATTACCCGCCTTGATGGTCTATCTATTAGGGTCATTGGTTTTGTTTCGCTACCACTCTCCCACCTTGAGCCTGATGACGTATCCCACCTTCATGTGTGACTGCCCTTAGGAGTTTCGATTCTTAGGCTGCATTCACCCCCTCTGAGACCATGCCACTCTTAGTGGTTCAGCGACATGACATTATCTTGTGAAATATTGCTCTTCTCCTTTCAGCACTGAGGCCACTGCCTCCAGGACTTTAGGAGTGTATCATACTACATTTCATTTTTTGCTGTTAGCTAGGATATGTATACCAGACATTTGCTTTTCTTTTGACATTATATAGCTTAGGATGCATCGCATGGACTCTGCATGGAGCTTGCTCYGCAYCCTAGWTTTCTCAGCTTTCTTTATTGCAGAGTTCCGCTGCTTTTGCGGATAGCGTGTTTATGGCTCTTGCGATCCATTACAGGTCTGAGGATCGTGCAGCGGGCCTTCATCTGCCCTGGCCCACAGCCAKGGCCTATTTGRCTATTTGCCAGTCCGGCCTGTGGGACCAGGCCGTGGCCTGACCCCATAGGCCCTGCGGTTATTCAGTCCAGTCCAGTCCTGCCCGGTACCAGGCCAGTCCAGTCCAGTCCAGTCAGTCCGCTGGGGGTATACCCCAGTTGCAGTCTGTTTTGTGGCATTCTTCATTTGCACAGATTGGAGTACGTGCGTGTTGAGTCTGCGTTGGAGTTGCGCTGTCCCTTCCAGCTCCATCTCCATCTCCCCCGTCCTCATCCCTTCGTCTTGATCCTGACGGACCGCCATCCCGGCGGGTCCGTCACAGAGAGAGAGAAAGAAAGAGAAACAGAGAGAGAGGGAAAGGGGGGGCTACCAGAGAGAGAGAGAGAGAGAGAGAGAGAGAGAGAGAGAGAGAGAGAGAGAGAGAGAGAGAGAGAGAGTTTTGTTCCATTTGTTAATACGAGTGAGAGAGAGAGAGAGAAAGAAAGAGACATATATATAGATAGATAGATAGATAGATAGATAGATAGATAGATAGATAGATAGATAGATAGAGAGAGAGAGAGAGGCTGAATGGCAAAATTGAAATATGGGTCAAATTGCGGCCGCGATCTATTTCGCAGTTGGAATGATTTTAAAAAAAATTATTTAGCATTTTTCCTGGAAAGATCACAACAAAATCTACGAGAACTCCAATTTTCAGGTTTTTTCATGCATTCTTCTGAGAGTGAAAACTCACTAAATTTGGAGTACTTTTTAAGTTGGTCCACACATGGTTGAGTGACAAAAATGAAAAATGTGCCAAATCGGTGCGACGATTCTTTCTCCGTCTAAATGATTTTTTAAAAATGTTCTAATATTTTTCCTAGAAAGAACACGACCTCATATATGGATTCTCAAAATTTCAGATTTTTCTGCAGGTTCCTCCGAGCACAGAAAATCGCCAAAGGTGCCTCTTGCAAAACGTCTGTTTCGTTGCGCCTGACCTCCCTGTTTTGAAAAGACGGGCCTCAACGCCTTGGCCTGAGGGCCCTTACTCCACCCCCACTTCTTTTTGGGGTTCACTTCCACCCGAGGACCGGTCCTTGCTTTTTCCAAAAGTCCCGGTCATTCCAGAGCTGCCTGTAGGTAGTCCCCAATTTTGCCAAGGACCGGYCCCCCCCAAACTTTTGCCCCCTAAAAATCCACTTTGCATCCTGGTCGCCCGCCGCTGAAAATGCGACACCTTGACGCAGACGCCAAACCCCACTATACCGCAGCCTTAGGGCTGCGAACATGAGCAGGCGCATTCCCCTCTTCCCCTTCTCCTCCTCGCCTGGCATGATGCCACACAGTATAACGAATGCTTTGTAGGATATTTCCATGCACATCCGTGGATGATCTTTCATGGACCGGGAGGCTCAACGCCGAGTCAACGGAGGTGTGGGGTCGCCAACCGAGGACTTACCAACCGTCCAGGAAAGCGGGAGAAATAGAGGGTTTGCCAGGATAGCAGGTGGACGAAAAGTGGAAGAGGTGCAGTGCAGCCATACTGCGTGTTGCAAATGCAGTGGAGAGATTTGGTCCTTTGGGTGGAGGGAAAATTGAAATTAGAGTTACTCTAACAATTGAGAGTTTACCTAGAATTTTAAACTGTCGGTGGGATGATACATTGTAGAGGGACCGACCTTGGATGAGAAAAAAAATTGCCACAGGCGTAACCTGGGCTCTGCTTGGCCGGAGAGCGTCGCTCAGTCCGTGAGGTGCGGCGACTTTTGTGAGGGACGCCGGGCCTGTTTCCCAGCTTTGTTGAACAATGATTGTGCCTGAGAGTTTGCGGACTTTGTGAGCCTCGCTTTGCTAAGTCTGCTTGGCCGGAGAGCCTTGCTCAGTCGTTTGCCGGCGTGTTTCCCTTTTCTCATGAAAAAAAAAGAGGAAAAAGAAATGCCCCTGAATGTTGTCGTTGTCTTTAAGTACCCCTGAAACACAAGGGTATCACAAAATGCGCCTGGAACTTTGCAAAGTACTACTTTTGTATATGCCCCTCGGGCTTTGTACAACTTCTTCGTGTATGTTGGTGAATTTCGCGAGTGTCCTTACTGGTACCCAGCATGTTTTCTGTTTGCAAACCTTTCCCTCTGTGTGTGTGTG